TTAGGATTGGTGGAAGAGGACTATATAGGAGGAGAGAGACGGCATGCACCAGGAACATCTAAGGGGAACATCTAGCTGAAGGAACACCTGTGCAGCCCCCGAGAGCCGGCCGGCGGTGTGCTGCTCCCCTGCGGAAGTGGGGAATGTGGCCAGGGGGAACTGCCCTTCCACGGAGGTGGAAGGGATAGTAGCCAACCCGGGAAGAACCAGCAGCAAACCCGGGGAGGGCCGAGCAGACGAAAGAACAGCACAGGGTCCTGTGTCGTTCCTCCACGAAGAGGGGGAGCGACATAATGGTGCCGTGACTCGGATATGAAGCCTAGGCAGGGCTTAGTGTCGTTCCTCCATGAAGAGGGGGAGCGACATAATGGTGCCGTGACTCGGATATGAAGCCTAGGCAGGGTTTAGTGTCGTTCCTCCATGAAGAGGGGGAGCGACATAATGGTGCCGTGACTTGGATAGGAAACCTAGGACGGATAGGAAACTTAGGAGGGAAGAAACGGGAAGAAATGGGAAAATACCGGAGAGAGAGACTAGCAAACAGCCTAGGGAAAAGCCGGACGAAAAAGGTGCCGGAAGAAGCTATCAAAAGCCTAGGCATAGACTCAGATACGGACTACGGGGGGAAGCTGGGAGAAATCTCTAAGGTTGAAAGCGAAAGTGAAAGCTAGAACAGACTCGGATGCGGACTGTGGGGAGAAGCCAGGAGAAATGAGGGAGGAATATTGTTTGAAGAAAGCTTGGGGAAACATACCGGGTAGAGAAAAATGTTAGGGAAATTGAAGCCGCGGGGGGCAGGCCGAGGCGGAGACGAAAGCCACTTTGGGATTCTCAAGTTAGCCCGGGAATGGGGGGCGAAGAGTTGAAACCAGAAGCGGAAACGTAAGCCAGATTGGGATCCGTCTGATTAGCCCGGGGAGCAGAGGACGGGAAGCCAAATCGTGGGGCGGAGACGTGAGCTGGGTTGAATTCGCCAGGTTAGCCCGGGGAACTTAGATTGAATGCTAGTGGCGGAGACGTAAGCTACGCTGTGTGACTCGCGGAGGCTGCCGCGCGCAGAGAGAGCGTGCGGGGCACAAGTAGATAGGGAACGCTGGGCTAGTGCGAGACTGCGGAGTGTGCGCGCGAAGCCGAGCCGCGCAGATAAGAGAAGCGGGCTGAAGCGGCTCAGCCGGGAAGCCGCCGAGAAGCAGCCTCGGGGCGGGCGCCGGGAAGCCGCGGGGATAAGAGAAACAGAAGTTTAGAAGTAAAATGAGAGAAATAGGAATGTTGGCAGACAGAAGTAAAATGGGAGAAATAGGAATGCCCGGAGATAGAGAAACAGAGAAATAGAAAGGCCTCCCCACAATACTGCAATTAGAAGGCTTGGATTCGGTCTGCCTGATTAGTGAGGCGATGAGCACCTGCGGGCGGCTAGCAGCTTATGCGCCGCAGGTCACCGAAGACAGGCACGAATTAACATCAATAAGGCCTCCCCACAATACCGCAATGAGAAGGCTTGGATTCGGTCTGCCTGATTAGTAAGGCGGTAAGCACCAGCAGGCAGCTCGACCAGAGTATGAGCTGCAGGTCACCGAAGATAGGCACGAATCAACACCAATAAGCCTCCCCACAATATGGCAATGAGAAGGCTTGGATTCGGTTTGCCTGATAGGGCTTGTAAGCACCTGCAGGCAGAGCAGAGCATGCGCTGCAGGGCACCGAACACAGGCACGCATCAGCGCCTGAAAACCTCCTCACAACATGGCGAAGAGAGGACCCGGATTCGGTTTGCCTGATTGATAGGACTTGTAAGAACCTGTGGCAACTCTAGCAAGCAGAGCAGAGTGTGTGCCGCGGGGCACCGAAGACAGGCGCGTATCAACGCCAAAAAATAAAAAGAAAGGGGGATCTGTGGGGAGCAACCCGGACTAGACTAAGTTACTGGAATTAAGACTTATTCTATGCATCTGGCGCTGGGAGAGGAGAAAACAGCTTCTGCACAGCTGCCTCCAGTTCAGCCAATAAACTGTAGGACTTGCTCCTGATTGGAGGAGAGCAGCATACTCGGCGTGTGGGCAGCCGAGTTAGGATTGGTGGAAGAGGATTATATAGGAGGAGAGAGACGGCATGCACCAGGAACATCTAAGGGGAACATCTAGCTGAAGGAACACCTGTGCAGCCCCCGAGAGAGCCGGCCGGCGGTGTGCCGCTCCCCTGCGGAAGTGGGGAATGTGGCCAGGGGGAACTGCCCTTCCATGGAGGTGGAAGGGATAGTAGCCAACCCGGGAAGAACCAGCAGCAAACCCGGGGAGGGCCGAGCAGACGAAAGAACAGCACAGGGTCCTGTGTCGTTCCTCCACGAAGAGGGGGAGCGACATTTACCTTTCAAAAAAAAATCAAGTTTTCTAATGCTGTTTTATTTATATAGATTTATGCTCATTTCTTTGAACAGTATCATATAATTTTTATCATGTAAGCTTAATTTCTTTGGTTAAATTTATTCCTAAGTTTTTTATGTTACTTATTTTTTGATGCAATTGTGATTTTATTATTATTATTATTTTTGTAAAACAAACTATTGACTTGTATGATTGTGGAGGCTAATACAACCTACAGACAATGTCCCAGTTTGAGTAGGAAAGCTGGATGCTACAGCAGAACCAGGAAGGGCTGATGTCCCAGCTGGAAGACCATTATTAGATACGTTTATATACTGATCATGTATCCTGAAACTGTGTCGAGCTTATTAGTGCTAATGCTGTGTGTGTGTGTGTGTGTGTGTGTGCGTGTGTGTGTGTGGATTCCTTAGGACTTTTTATATACAAGGTTATGTCATCTATGAACTGAGGTAGCTCTACTCTTTTCCCCCAGTCTGAATGCTTTTTGGCTATTTTCCTAACGACCTCGCATTTCAGCTTTTTGAGTTCTTTACTGCTATGGATTGAAGGTTCATCCCTTTCAAAACTCACACTGAAATGTAATTGCCATTGTAACAGTATGACAAGGTGAGATCTTTTTAAATTTTTTTATTTGACAGATAGAGTTAGACAGTGAGAGAGACAGAAAGGTCTTCCTTCTGTTGGTTCACCCCCAAAGTGGCCACTATGGCCAGAGCTATGCTGATATGAAGCCAGGAGCCAGGTGCTTCCTCCTGGTCTCCCATGGGGTGCAGGGCCCAAGCACCTGGGCCATCCTCCACTGCCTTCCCAGGCCACAGCAGAGAGCTGGACTGGAAGAGGGGCAACCGGGACTAGAACCCAGTGCCCAAATGGGATGCCGGCGCCGCAAATGGAGGATTAGCCAAGTGAGCCATGGCGCTGGCCCAAGGTGAGATCTTTAAGAGGTCATTAGAGTGCTGTCCTTATAAATGAGTTAATGCTGTTGTTGTGGGAGTCAGTTCATTATAAAAAGGCACTGAGTTCAATCCCCCACCTCAACCTTTAGGCTTCCACCACGGGACGATACAGCAAGGCCTTTCCCGAATGCCAGCTCCTGCATTTGGGACTTCCCAGCTCCCAGACTCATGAGCCAATCCATTCTGTTCCTTATAACCTGCCCAGTCTCAGCTTTCTGTTAGAGCAGGAAAAATGGACTAAGGACTAAGACATTCATGTATCAGAGAGATTAGCCCTCTGTCTGTGGCATATTTCTTTTCAGTCTGTCAGTTGTCTTTGGGCTTTGTGTATTTTTTTATATGGAGCTTTTTTAAAAAAAAGATTTATTTATTTATTTATTTGAAAGGCTAATATACACAGAATTAGAGAGAGAGAGCGGTCTTCCATCCGCTGGTTCACTCCCCAAATGGCCGCAAGAGCTGCAGCTGCCCCGATCTGAAGCCAGGAGCCAGGAGTTTCGGGTCTCCCACGTTGCAGGGACCCAAGCACTTGGGCCATCTTCCACTGCTTTCCCTGGCAACTTAGCAGGGAGCTGGATTGGACATGCAGCAGCTGGGACTAGAACTGGTACCCATATGGGACCCTGACTCTGGCCCCGTGTATTTTTTTTAATGCCCACAAATTCATCAGTCTTTTATTGTCTCTGGGATTTGAACCACAATTAGAGAACCTTTCCCTACACCCAAGTGAAAGAGGAACTGTAATCCACTTGGAGTTTTTTATGTATGGTTTGAGGAATGGATCAATTTTTTTTTATCACTGCTATCCAGTTGTCCCAGCACCCTTTATTAAAAAGTCCGTATTTGTCCCAGGGATCTGAGATGCTATCTTTATCACGTTCTAAATTTCCACATGGCTCTGAGTCTACTTCCGTGTTTTCCATTCTACTCCACTGGTTCACTGGTGTATTTCCGTTTCAACGACACCGGCTTCCTAGTGTCCTCCCATGTCCAGAAGGGCTAGCTCCCTGGTGATCTTCCGTTTCCAGTGCTTTCCTGCTATCCTTGGGTGCTTTTTCTATACACACTTTTAACCCAAGACCTACTACATGTTCACATCCACCTGTTAGGCTTCTAAGCTCTGGCCTGTAATTATTTAACAGGTCAATACCTTCATCCACGTTAAAAATTAACTGACATTTGCATTACCGGCGGGCAACATGGGGGCAAGGCTGACGCATAAGGGTTCTCTACATCAACCCACTCCCTGGAGGGACTCCCCCAGCCGGCGAAGGGCAAATGCCAGCTGGAGCCGGGCTCACTGGCAGCCTCCATTTTCTCACAATACGGTGGCATCCTGGGCCCGTAAGGAACCGGGCAACCTACTGCGGGTCCTAGGTTCTCCAGAGGCGGGGGCACCTCCTGACCTACGCGGGGCGAGTCCAGCTCAAGGGCAATGAACCCCCCGACTGCAGCAGGGAGCTCTGTTCAAAGAGGGGGGTCTCTGGCCCTTTATAGGGGCCCAGTCCCCCTAGCGCCCCAGGGCTGCACGCGGCACAGGGAGCGGGGCCGGCGGCCCTTCTGCGGGCCCCCGGAGGGGAGCGCGTGCGGGCCCGCGGGTCCTGGGTTCCAGGCAGGGCCCGGGCGCCACCTGCAGCCCTGGACCCGGGAGGGCGGGGTCGCCAGGCGGGCGGCGCGGAGGAGGGGGTCCGGGGAGCCGGGGGCGGGCTGGGGGCGTGGCGTGGCGCGCCGCGGGCCCGCGACCCGGACCCCGGCCCTGCCCCTCCTCCCCCAGAGCGGCCAGCGTCAGCGGCCACAGCCGTAGGCACCCGAGGGCGCCCCGGGCGGGATCGCGCTGGAGATGGCGGCGGCGGCGGCTGTGAGCGGCGCCAAGCGGAGCCTGCGGGCCGAGCTGAAGCAGCGTCTGCGGGCCATCAGCGCCGAGGAGCGACTGCGCCAGTCCCGCCTACTGACCCAGAAGGTGCGAGAGAGCGAGGGGGCCGACTCCACAGCGAACCGGCAGCCCCCTCCACCGCGGGCGGCCCTGGGCTGGCGCTTTTGCGCAGGCGCAGTCGCCAGCGCGCGCGCGCTCACTCCATCCCCTTCGGCCCCGGGCACGTTCCCGCCGGCGCGCCACGTCGCCGCCGGCACGCGCACGCCCGCCTCCTCCGCAGGCCACGTCGCCGCCGGCACGCGCACGCCCGCCTCCTCCCCAGGCCACGTCGCCGCCGGCACGCGCACGCCCGCCTCCTCCCCAGGCCATGTTCCCGCCGGCGCGCGCACGTCTTATGTCTGGGGAAGCTGTGGGCGCGCAGTGGCGGGAAGAGTGGACGAGGCTGAGGGTTGTGGGCTTCTGGGGGAGTGGGTTTGGGTGGGGGTGGACGACACCTGCATGGGGGTGATGGCGGTGCCGAGGCGAGAGCAGGGTGGAGGTGGGTGCACCGCCTGACCCCTCAGCAAGTCTGCGCTCCGAGGAGAGTCCAGGCGGACCAGTGAAGTGTCCAGGAAATGATGCAGTTTCTTTCTTTTTCTTTTTTTAAGATTTATTTATTTATTTGAGAGGCAGAGTGACAGAGAGCAAATGACAGAGAGAAAGGTCTTCCATCTGCTGGTTCACTCCCCGAATGGCCGCAGTGGTCAGAGCTGCGCCGATCAGGAGCCAGGAGCCAGGAGCTTCCTCCAGGTCTTCCACGCAGGTGCAGGGGCCCAAGCGCTTGGGCCATCTCCCACTGCTTTCCCAGGCCACAGCAGAGAGCTGGATCAGAAGTGGAGCAGCCGGGACTCGAACCGGCGCCCATGTAGGATGCGGGAGCCGCAGGCGGAGGCTTAGCCTACTACCTGACAGTGTCCACCCCGCTGTCAAGTTTTGTAATACTTAAACTCTGTTCTGTAACTGTAATGAGTTTATTGAGTAATAGTTGTGGCTGATTTCCAAGATTGAGATTCTAGTAAGCAGTATTCACAGTATTTTTGTTACAGGCCACAGGAAACAACCTGTTCAGGCTGTAGTTACTGATGGTGAAGGAACCCAGAGCCGTCGGGGTGAGCAGAGCAGTGCTGCACACACTGCACAGGGCTAGCAGGCGGGCAGCCGGTTTCTGCTGCAGCGTGGACTGCAATCAGAGTGCATTGTTGTAGCAAAGGTCCCTTCTTAGGGTGAGCTTTCCCGTGATCCAGCCGGTTTCCCAGGGAGGTGGTTTACTTTTCTGAGTGGGGCAGGGGATCCCGAACCACTCTGGAACTTCCCCAGTGCCTGGGGCAACCCTCGACAATCATAGATAGTGTAGTTGAAATTGGACAAGACCCCCTAAAATTTACACTGAAATGTGGCCCCTTAAAGTTCCCTACAAATGCTATCCAGGGTGCCACATGTGCTACCCAAATTTGGGGTGCCTTACGATTTCACCCTGGGCTTATTACTAAATCCCCGATTTTTATTTTTATTTTTATTTTTTTTTAACAGGCAGAGTGGACAGTGAGAGAGAGACAGAGAGAGAAAGGTCTTCCTTTGCCGTTGGTTCACCCTCCAATGGCCGCCGCGGCTGGCGCGCTGCGGCCGGCGCACGGCGCTGATCCGAAGCCAGGAGCCAGGTGCTTCTCCTGGTCTCCCATGGGGTGCAGGGCCCAAGCACCTGGGCTATCCTCCACTGCACTCCCAGGCCACAGCAGAGAGCTGGCCTGGAAGAGGGGCAACCGGGACAGAATCCGGCGCCCCGACTGGGACTAGAACCTGGTGTGCCGGCGCCGCAAGGCGGAGGATTAGCCTAGTGAGCCGCGGCGCCGGCCTAAATCCCCGATATTAATAAGCCCAAGAGGGTTCTTGCCTAATATTTAGAGAAGAATTCTAAATACCGGCACAGGTAAACGAGGCAGCATGGTACATTTTAAGCTTTTATTTAGTAAGAAAGATGCATAGGAGAGTGAGAGTTTATTTGAGAGAGAGAGGTGAATGGGGGTTCATACTGAGCACCAGGAACCTGGAAGCCTAGAGCACATGGCCCGAAGGCCATGCGCCCTGGAGGCGCGGGGCTGCAGCAAGCCCCTTCCTAGCAAGAGGCCAGAGAAAAAGAGCAGGCCGGGCCACACCTGTGTGCCTGCCTGCTTCATAGTCACTGTAGAGCCAAGTTGTGTGGCTGAATGTGTAAGAAAAAGATGTGTAATTCATGTCACTAGATATTTTTGGCTTAGGGAAGGAATGTTTCAAATATCGATACCAAATTTTTTCTTCTACCCTACAATTTCTCAGTCATACCATGTTCTACTTTGTTGCTTCTTGTATCACATTTTTTTTTTAAGATTTATTTATTTTAATTGAAAGGCAGAGTTACAGAGAGGCAGAGAGAGAGAGAGAGAGAGGGAGAGAGGTCTTCCATCCTCTGGTTCACTCCCCAGATGGCCGCAATGGCCAGAGCTGCGCCGATCTGAAGCCAGGAGCCAGGAGCTTCTTCCGGGTCTCCCATGTGGGTGCAGGGGCCCAAGCACTTGAGCCATCCTCTGCTGCTTTCCCAGGTGCATTAGCAGGGAGCTGAATTGGAAGTGGAGCAAGCAGGACTCGAACCGGTGCCCATATGGGATGCCAGTGTTGCAAGCCGGAGCTTTAACCTCCTGTGCCATAGCGCTGGCCCCTGCCAATCAAAATTTTAACCCAGTGATTATCTCTTAATTCACGGATTGCTTCTTCCATTGCAATATGTTGTGGTATAGATGCAGTTATCTTCTTGAGTTTGTCCAAGGAAACTAATTTGAATTTCAGAAAAATTCTATATTTCCTGAATTGTTTCAGTTTCTGCTAGCACACCTTGCTTTTTTTTTCCATTCTTCTATTTTGTATTTTAACTTTTCCAAAATGTTTGATTATCCTTTGTTGTCTGTATATATTTATGAATGAAGTTATGACCGTTAGTGGGATTTCCTGTGCCATATGTAGTCCCTTTAGGATTCCAAGGGAGGAATGGATTCTGCTTGACCTGTGTCGATGCTTTCAGAGTGGTGTGGTCTGCTGGTTTGTTTACCAGTTCTGTCCCATCCACTTTGTCTTTTTTTTTTTTTTTTTGACAGGCAGGGTGGACAGTGAGAGAGACAGACAGAGAGAAAGGTCTTCCTTTTGCCATTGGTTCACCCTCCAATGGCCGCCACAGCCGGCGCGCTGCAGCCGGTGCACCGCGCTGATCTGAAGGCAGGAGCCAGGTACTTTTCCTGGTCTCCCATGGGGTGCAGGACCCAAGCACCTGGGCCATCCTCCACTGCACTCCCGGGCCACAGCAGAGAGCTGGCCTGGAAGAGGGGCAACCGGGACAGAATCCGGTGCCCCGACCGGGACTAGAACCCGGTGTGCCGGCGCTGCAGGCGGAGGATTGGCCTAGTGAGCCGCGGCGCCGGCCTCCACTTTGTCTTACAGGAATCAGTCAAACCACTTTTTTTGAATGTCTTTACTGTCACTTAAATGGGGTTTGCAGAAGAAAGTTAAATGCCTATGCACAGTCTCACACTGAATTTTAACTCATGTTTGTTGCTGCTTACTCAGCTCTCGATTTTCTAGGAAGACGCTTAACTTTCTCATTTATACTTGGGTGCCAGAAGCCGGAGGCCTGCCCAAAGTCTGGGTTTCTCATTCCGTTTGCTTTGCCTGTTTGAGGCCTGTTAACAGCTTTGTAGCTTTTCAGAACACAGGAGTTCACTTTGTTCCTTAGCATTGACTTGATGTGCTGTATCTACTTAATGTCTGTCTTTCCCTTTTTATTAGGGACAGTTGACTCTTTGTCCTGGTTATCATTATGCCAGTCATCAGCTGGCTTTACAGCATCTTTATCTTCTTAGCTTGAGAACAGGCAAGGGCATAAAAAGAAAGGGGAAAAGGGGGAGCTACGGCCGCCTTCTGCAACTGGTAGGTTCTTGAGATGGTTGACAGTTCTGGTAAGCAGAGCTCAGCCCCCTCTGGCCAATGAATGGCTCTGCTGAGTAGGGATCCTTCCACCAGGACCCCCGCACCCTTCCAGCTCTGGGACCATTTTAATGTTCCTTTGAACAGAAGCATTTCAGAAAATGGGATGGAAATGTTAGCCTAAGAGCGCATTATAAGACATGTTTTCTGCCTCAGGAAACTTACAGACTGGTTAGGGATACCGCATTTAGGGCACACGAAACAATTAGTGCTCAACCCACGACAATACACAATTGTAGTTCCTCTCAATGTCTCAAGGGTTCTGCAGAAGAAAAGTTAGGGCTTGAGTGAGGCTTTAAATGGGTCGAGTTTAGGAGTGGAGAAGCCTGGGGCCGGTGCTGTGGCACAATGGGTTAACTCCCTGGCCTGAAGCGCAGGCATCCCTTAGGGGTGCTGGTTTGAGACCTGGCTGCTCCACTTCCTATCCAGCTCTCTGCTGTGGCCTGGGAAAGCAGTAGAAGATGAGCCAAGTCCTTGGGCCCCTGCACCCATGTGGGAGACCCAGAAGAAGCTCCTGGCTTCGGATGGGCGCAGCACCAGCCATTGCAGCCAGTTGGGGAGTGAACCATCGGATGGAGGACCTCTCTCTCTCTCTCTCTCTCTCTCTCTGTCTCTGTCTCTCTCTGTGTGTAACTCTGCCTTTCAAATAAATAAATAAATCTTAAAAAAAAAAGAAGTGCCTGACAGTGTAAGGATTGGCGTAGTTTGTGGGAGCCAAGGTTCAGAGAGACAATACAGCAGGCCTGTAGGGGAAGAGTATTAAATGACTGGAGACTACTACCCTGGGTACATGGGGAATCAACCCTGGATGGCGGCAGCTGGTTTCTATGGCAACTTTTAAATTAGTGTGTGTGCCATAAAGGGGTTAAACAGTTGGAGAAGTAATACGTGAGTCCTGAACTGAAAATCAGGTTTCAGGTCAGGGCGTTGTCTGTAACCCACTCTACCACTTGCCATTTGTATTTGGATGAAAAAGGGAGAAACTGGGAAGGGGGTTGCTGGCTTTTGAAAGTGTCAGCTTGGGAAATGTCCCCGCCCTCGTTCCCCACGCAGGTGATTGCCCACCGGCAGTATCAGAAATCCCAGAGAATCTCCATCTTCCTGAGCATGCCGGATGAAATCGAGACAGAAGAGATCATCAAGGATATCTTCCAGCAAGGCAAAGTCTGCTTTATCCCCCGCTACCGGTTGCAGAGCAATCACATGGATATGGTGAAATTAGCGTCAGCAGACGAAATTTCTTCACTTCCTAAAACCTCCTGGAACATTCATCAGCCGAGTGAGAGTGACACGCGGGAGGAGGCCTTGGCCACCGGTGAGCGTGATGACGTAAGAGTCCGTGCCTGAAGGCATTGTCAGGCTGAGCTTGCAGACTTCTGAGCCACCTGTTGTGGCTGGGTCAGCGGAAGCTGGTTTTCCTGTAGGGATGCATGTGTGTTTCGTATCTGTTACGTGACACCCACGTGCCCAGGCTGTGCATTGACGCCCTGTGTGAGCTGTGAAGTGTAGACAGCAGTAGGTACCGAGGCGTCGTCTTCTCGTGGGCTCTTGCACTAAGCCTGAGGGCCTGAGGGCTGAGCGGTGCATTTTCCCTAACGTCCCCATTTCTCGTGGTTCATGTTGTATTCTAATGAGTGGATTGTTGATGCTAATGAATATTTATATCACCAGATCTGTCAGTACCTTCTGGACCTCTCGTCTTAGATGCCACATAGGTGTCTCAAGTGCAGCCCCCCCCCCCCCCGACTACCATGTCCCTGTCAGTGGGAATCACCACCAGCTCTCCCGCTGACTAGGCCAGAGACCCCCAGCGCACCCTCAACTCCTGTCTTCTCTCATGCCCTCCATTGGGCAGTTGCCAAGTCCTGATGCTTGTACCTCCCGATCATTATCGAATGTGTCCACTCTCTCTAGGCCCGTTGCAATCTAAGCAGCCTCCCCATCTTGCCTGAGTGGTGATGATGTCCTCGCCATTGCCCTTCCTGTCTGTGTCTTGCGTCCTTCCCTTCTATCAATCCATTGTCTACGTAGGAATAGAGCAAGCGTCCTAAGACATCAACCTGATCCTTTCCCACCACTGTTAAAGGGCCCGGCCCTGCTTGGCTTTCTGCTTTCATGGCCTTCTTTTTTTTTTTTTTTTTTTTGAGATTTATTTATTTATTTGAAAGGTAGAGTTACAGAGAGGCAGAGGCAGAGAGAGAGAGAGAGAGAGAGAGAGAGAGAGAGAGGTCTTCCATCTGCTGGTTCACTCCCCCAGATGACCACAGCAGTCTGAGCTGCACCAATCTGAAGCTGGGAGCCAGGAGCCTCTTCCAGGTCTCCTACGCAGGTGCAGGGCCCAAGCACTTGGCCATCGTCCACTACCTTCCCAGGCCACAGCAGAGAGCTGGATTGGGAGTGCAGCAGCTGGTTCTGGAACCACAGTACCAGTCCCTGCTTTCATGTCCTTCTACTCTCTACCTCATGGGCAAAGGTGCAGCCCTCTGAGTGTCTCCCAGGTTCCCAGATGTACTTGCCTTCTTCCCTACTGGGTCTTTTTCATATTGTTCTCTGGCCAGTAGTCACTTGGGACAGCTTTTCCATCATCAGCTCATCCAGGAGCTGCAGGCAGAACAAGCTCAGGGCTCCTTTCTAATCCGGTGCCTCCCGCCTGGCTCCGAGGTACGTGACTGTGACCGAGACCTAAGTGGCTGCAAGGCAGCCCCAGGGGACTTTGCTGCAGTCTTCCCCCAGTTTTGGTCCTTCCGACAGGACCCAGCAGCCGACATAACGTCAGCGTGGTAGGGTGGGAGGGCGCACAGCAGTAGAGATTGTGTACTTGGCTACTCTTTCCCTGCAGGAGTTATTAAGCCAGCCTGGCTTTGTTAGAGGCTTGGACACCAAAAGTACCTTCAAATCTGCATCTCTTGTGGCCTGAATATGTAGAGCAGGTGGATGTTAGCATTGTAAAACTCTGTCACATCTTGAAGGGGACAGACTGCAAGCATATTTTTTTTAATTTATTTGATTTATTTATTTTATTTGAAAGGCAGAGTCACAGAGAGAGGGGAGAGAGGGAAAGACAGAAAGAGGTCTTCAGTCTGCTGGTTCACTCCCTGTATGGCTGCACCAGCCAGGGCAGGGTCAGGCTGAAGCCAGGAGCCAGGAGCTTCATCCAGGGCTCCCATGTGGGTGTGGGGGCCCAAGCATCTGGACCATCTGCTGCTGCTTTCCCAGGCGCATTAGCAGGGAGCTGGATTGGAAGCAGAACAGCCCATATGAACCGGCTGGTGCCCATGTGGGGTGCCGGTGCCAGTTTAACCTGCTACACCACAGCACCAGCCCCAGACTGCAAGCATTTTAAGACATTGAGAGGGGGCTGGCACTGTGGTATAGTGGGCTAAGCCTCTGCTTGCGGTGATGGCATCCCATATGGGCACCGGTTTGTGTCCCAGCTGCTCCTCTTCCAGTCCAACTCTGTGCTGTAGTCTGGGAAAGCAGTGGAAGATGGCCCAGATGCTTGGGTCCCTACACCTGCGTGGGAGACCCAGAAGCAGCTCCTGGATCCTGGCTTGGGATTGGCTCAGCTCCAGCCATTGTGGCCATTTGGGGAGTGAACCAGTGGATGGAAGACCTTTCTCTTTGCTTCTCCCTCTGTCTGTAAGTCTGCCTCTCAAATAAATAAATCAATCTTAAAAGAAAAAACAAAGACAGTGAGAGGACAGACTGTCCTGGGAGTGTCTTCGCCTTGTAGATAAGGAGAGGAGACAGTTGTAGGCTCTGAAGTTGCGCAGATGTTAGTGCAGCTGCTTCCTCTGCCTGGTGATCTTAGGGCCAGTCATTCCCAATTCTGGTTGACTTTTTATTATTATTAATATTATTTTTTTGACAGGCAGAATAGACAGACAGAGAGAGAGAGAGACAGAGAGAAAGGTCTTCCTTTGCCGTTGGTTCACCCTCCAATGGCCGCCACGGCCGGCACGCTGCGGCCAGTGCACCGCACTGATCCGAAGGCAGGAGCCAAGTGCTTCTCCTGGTCTCCCATGGGGTGCAGGGCCCAAGCACTTGGGCCATCCTCCACTGCACTCCCTGGCCACAGCAGAGGGAGCTGGAAGAGGGGCAACCAGGACAGAATCCGGCGCCCTGACCGGGACTAGAACCCGGTGTGCCAGCGTCGCAAGGCGGAGGATTAGCATAGTGAGCCGCGGCGCCAGCCTCTGGTTGACTCTTTGGGACAGCAGCTGCAGGGCCTGCATCATCTCTCGCGACTTCCGACTAAACTCTGCACCACCTCCTCCAGGAACCAGCGCCCCTTCAGGGAAAATCCCATCCCACAGCCCTGCCCCAGCACTGCATTGTCTTGAGACTGAGCTAACGCTGTCCACTCTGCTCCCTCTTGCTTGTGTTCTGGGTCTGTCGGGCACAGCCATGGGAAGGGTGAGGAAGAACATGGTCTTTCCTCTTGACTCCCTGGTTGAGAAGTCACTGAGCAAAATCACGAGTGTGGTTTTTATAAAGCACAGTACTTGGCGCATTGGGGTCACTCAGCAAGTGGTAATGGTTCTGAATTTTAAGCAAGGAGGGCAGGATGACTTATTATGTGATAAACTCGCCGTAGGGAAGGGTTTGACACTGGGATCGTTTCCAGCAGACGTTTTCTGAGCTTTGTCTCGGTGTTTTAGGTCTGGAAAGATAAGGTCCTGGACTTCAAGGGACTCCCACTCCCGCCAGTGAGACAAAAAAATAGATGTATAAGTGGGGCTGGTGTTGTGGTGCAGCGGGGTAAGCTACCACTTTCGAAGTCACGTCCTGTATCAGTGTGCCAGCTCAAGTCCCGGCTGCTCCGCTTCTGATCTAGCTTCATGCTTATGTCCCTGGGAAGGCAGCAGGGCATGGCCCAAGTACTTGGGCCCCTGCCACCCACGGGGGAGATCCAGGTGGAGTTCCAGGCTCCTGGCTGTGGCCTGGGCCAACCTCTGCTGTTGCAGGCATTTGGGGAGTGAACCAGTGGATGAAAGATATCTGTCTCTCTGTCTCTTTCTCTTTCTCTCTCTTTGTCACCCTGCCTTTCAAATAAATAAATCTTTAAAAAAAAAAAAAAAAAAAACCAGCATCCCAAGCTGTAATGTATGTCAAAGGTGAGTTTCAGATGAGACATACTGAATATTAAAAACAGATGAGTCCTGTACAGGGAAAAGCTCACCTCCAGTTGGTTGCTCGTTTTTGTTCCTCCTCTGTAGCATTTCTCTGTGCTCTGCTTGTGCCAGTGGCTTTTTTCCCCCATGTGTTTTTCTCTGCAGATATTTGTGACCTGAGTTGCTAAGGGATGGGGCTGCCAGCTGTGGTCCTGCACTGCCTTCTGGGGGCTGCGGCGGTCCCCCGCTGTTGGTAGAAGTGTTGGAGTCGGCAGTCTCTGTTGTTACCTCCCCGCATTGCCTGCATCTTTTCTTGTATCAGCAGCTGTGAATGTGATAACTTCAGTGTGAAAGCATAAATCTCCCTTCACTGGTGTTTGGGACAAGCTGATCAGAGCCCAGAGTGTCCTCGGCGAAGCCTTTGTAGTCCATTTATCTTTCTGGTTTGCTCACGTTATCACAGCTTAGGGAGGCGTGAGCTTTGATGACCTTGGTTGCAACGATAAGCTCACATCGAGTATTCTGTGATGTGCACAGCAAAATAAACAGGGTGGTAAATGAAATGGAGGGGCCATCTATTAAATTTTTCCCCCAGGGGGCCAGCGATGTGGCTCACTTGGTTAATCCTCTGCCTGCGGCGCTGGCATCCCATATGGGTGCCAGGTTCTAGTCCTGGTTGCTCCTCTTCCAGTCTAGCTCTCTGCTGTGGCCCAAGTGCTTGGGCCCCTGCACCTGCATGAGAGACCAGGAGGAAGCACCTGGCTCCTGGCTTCAGATCGGCACAGCTCTGGCCATAGCGGCCATTTGGGGGGTGAACTAACAGAAGGAAGACCTTTCTCTCTGTCTCTCTCTCTCACTGTCTATCTGTCAAATTAAAAAAAAAAATTTTTTCCCCCAAGTGAGAACTGCATGGGCAATTGAATTAGCCAGGAATTTTAACATTGCAACTGTATAGTCTGATTGAATCTAGCTAAGCAAAGATGGGATTTTATTGGCCCAAAGAAGGGCTGTTTTTTTGTTTTTTGTGTTTTTTTTTTAAAGTTTTTTTTCTTTCTTTCTTTCTTTTTTTTTTTTTTTTTTGACAGGCAGAGTGGATAGTGAGAGAGAGACAGAGAGAAAGGTCTTCCTTTACCATTGGTTCACCCTCTAATGGCTGCCGCAGCCGGTGCGCTACAGCCGGCGCACTGCGCTGATCTGAAGG